CTCCGACAGCACCAGAGTTCCAGAAAGCAGCAGAGCTGTAGTGGAAGAAGGAAGCAGCAGAGCTGTGATGGAAGAAGATGTGATATGTAGAACGTTGAAACCGAGTGCAATGCAACTACCAAGATTTTGGGGAGACGAAGAAGAGTTCCCAGAATTCTGGGCGGTGTATGAGACCCTTGTTCACCAAAGTAAGGTACTAAGCACGTTAGAAAAGATACTTCTCTTAAGAGACAGCCTCAAAGGAAGAGCAGAGATGGCCGTTAAGGGAATCCAACTGATTCCACAGCACTACACATGGATGGTAGAAACGCTTAAGAAAAAATACGGCAATAAACCGGTGAACAGAGCAAAAATCGTCCAGAAACTTATCAAATCCCACCTGCAAAAAACACAGCGGACGGTTGCTCACATACATTCGATAAAATTCGCATGCTGATCCCCAAACTGACAGATGCAATGTGGACAGAAAAAATGTTCCTGATCCCAAGAACCCCGCGCCATGTGTTGTATCGCATCATACTCGCCATATGTTATCGCATAATACCGTTTGTGGCCTGACTCGGGCCAACCCCGAGGACGGCATTCGCGTTTTGTGTTGGTCCGGCACCCAGCCGGCCTTTATGTTGAGGAATAACGATAAAGATTCAAAAATTCCACTGAACCATTGTAGCCACCACAGGAAGGATATTTTGTGACTTTGGCCATTCGTAATGACTTCTGTATCAAAAAATGCGCCTTTTAATGCTGGTTCGAGTGCTTTTCCATATCTCCGAAAGATAACCTGGGTGGAGTCATGATTATTTTTCATGAATAAATTGCGCTACTGCGGAGGATTAGAACCATCAATAAAAAACTTTCTTTCCCTTTCAGGTGCTGGATATGATTTAGATATGTAACACAATAGTATTCCTTTTAAGATTCACTTCAATAGCTTCAAACGGTGCTATTTCCGAGGTGATTAGGCCCATTTTTGGTGGAAGGACCTTTTACAATAGTAAGGCCGTATTTTCAGTAACTTGTTTTGTTTTGGTTTTATTAATGTTAACTGCGTTTTATTTTAGTAAAAAACCCTTCATTTAAGCAATTAACATAGGTACTTTATAAAATGTATTAGATTTAGATTCTAAAGAAATGAACCTAAGCTGATCACGAATCTGGCATCTCATCGAATTTGTCACTGCATTCACAATGCGGTGACATCTAGTAAGGTTACGGTAGGTTTACTATAGATAGGAAAAAATCACAAAACTGATTGAAACTTTGTCACTGGGTTATTCGGGGCGCTAGTCACGAATATGCTATGCATTTCTGGCTGCGGGTCCATATAGCGGAGTTACGGAAGCTATACGATAGAAATGAGAAAACTACAAAACTTGTCGAAGCTTCGACCGTTGGGGTTATTCGGGCGCTGATCACGAACAGTCTATATGCTCCGTACACTGGTGTCATTTTGAGCGATTACGGTCATACTGTAAGTGGGCCAAATCCTTCTACAGTCGTTTTCAACACGTATTGGTCTTTTCTACCGTATGCCTTCCGGCCTCAACGTAATATGGATGAGGCGCCACCTCGCTTCGGGCCTGCGCCGCGTAGCGGACGCTCATTTGGCCTGGAGTGGCGAGAAAAGCAGAGTGGTGCAGCCCGAAGCGATGCGGTGGCTCACTAATTCACGTCATGTTGAGGCTGGAAGGCATACGGTAGAAAAGACTAATACGTATTGAAAACGACTGTATATAAAACTGAATGTCTGTTTGTTGTATGTCTGCCTGTATGTGGTACGTATGTTCTGATTAGAAAATCCCATTACTAAACGATTAGGACCAAATTTGGCACACATACACTCCGAGGCGGGTGTCGTACGCTACTTTTCGTCATCGATCGGTATTGACTTTGTCGATTTTTTGCAAAGTTTGAACTGCGGCGCTGGGAGTTAGCACAGGGGGGAAGTAAGCGTGCATCATTAACCCAGCGGGAATAGGGAATTGGCATGTAGACGTGGGCACAGGGAAAAATTGTACAGTGATAGGAATGAGAGCTATATTATAATGTTTTGACATGGCCGGGCGGAGCCGGGTAAGCAAACTAGTCATGCGCAAACTTTAAAGGCAGTGTCCGGGCAAGATGGGAGTTTTGGGCCATGCGAGAGTTGTCCCCCTCAGACACAACATCGCGCAAGTGCGACGTCATAAGCTCGACCTAAAGCAAGAAAAATGACCAGAAAATGGTGAAACTTACGCCTTGGGGCGGGTTCTCCGAGCTCGGATTCCTGCTATGCGGCAGAGCACGCATGCCGCAACACTCAAAATCGTAGGGTTCCGCAGTGACTCTGCGTCTCAGCCTTGACGAGGACCACCGAATTTCAAATTGTAAGGCTTTGGAAAACGCATTTTCTCGCCGTTTTTGCGCCTTATAATGTGGTTTCAATTCAGCGCTGCGGATAGTCCCCGGTAAGCAATTTTCTTGAAATCGAGTTTTTGCCCGGTCACTGCCTTTAACAGCCCATTCTTACCATTGCGTAAGCCACCCGCCCTCTCTATCATCTGAAGCGTTCAGCTGCGCAAAAGATCAATCTGTGCGATAAACCACCGCTTTTCGACAGAAATGAATGTGAGTGAGGCTTTGATATAAAATGTTTTGACTTGCTTTGTGTTAATGCAGTGAGTACATTATGGCAAGACAACTTTTAGTCCGAAGCAGAGTTGAGGGTGGGGTCAGGCGCGCCCGACCTGGGGGTCGAATTGTGTGAAAGAGTAAGAGGGGGGGGGGGAGGGGGGTAATCAAGAAGCAGATTTGTTCGATAAATTGTGGAAATGCTACGATCGAGTAAGTTAAAGAAGAAAAGCACTGAACCGTAAATCTCAGAACTCCACCAGAGGAATGGCAGTCGTGAACAGCATGCTGATTGACTCCACTATCGAAGTTTCGGCCAGATTCCAATTATTCATCTTACCTTACACAAGTAAGGTCACCAGAGAAGCTCTTTGTGTATTAGGTATGATTTCCGTAATCAGCATGTCAAATTACCTCAACGAGCTCTACAAACCATTACCAATAACATATTCTAGTGTTTCCTAACTTCTAAAAAGACGATTTTCAAACTTGATTAACTTGGTCACAAAAGTGAGAGAAGTCAGCTTTTTTTGTATTCATAACGAAGTATAGGGCTTGAAAAATTGTGACGATGGCGCGACCGCGCGCTACACGCACGCTGCTTCCGAAAACCGCATTTTCTTGTTTTTGATCTCTAGTCGAATGGTTTTTTGCTTACGTACGACTGTATTTAGGCACTGGAAGTGACTGAGTTGAGCGTTGAAGCGTTTGTCTTCTTGAATGAGCGTTTTATGCTCCTGTGAGCGCAAATTTCGCAGTCAAATCCTCCGGTACTATTCCACATAAGTTGACCCAAAAAATGAAAATTATGAATTTCGCTAAAACTTCGTCTAGGGGGGTTATTTGGTACGCTGAACACGAATATGATGTTTATTTCGTGCGACAGCGCCATCCGGTGGAGTTACGGTAGGATTACGGTAGGGGGTCAAAATCACGGATTTGCCCGAAATTTGGCCCAGAGGGGTTATTCGGCCCGCTGATGCCAAATATCACATTCGTTTTGAACCGTAGCGTCATTTTCTCGGGTTACGGTAGATACACGGTAACAGGTGTAGAACATAGTTCATCCCGAAACGGGTGTATGGCGATTCGGATGATCGTGAAGCTTTGCACACATGACCACCGCCGCGCGCTACACACTCTGCTGCGGCTTTTGCCTAAGCAAAGCACAGGGGGAAGATACATTTGCCGATTTGTGATTTTGACCCCTACCGTAAACCTACTGTAACCATGCGGGGAGACGTTTTCGTGCGGAGAAAGTGTGACATTTCTAATCAGCATGTCGAATAACTCCTCTGTGCAAAGTTACAGCGAATTTCGAGATTTTGACCCCCTGCCGTATATCCACCGTAACTCGAGAAAATGATACTACAGTACGAAACCAATGTGATATTCGGCGTCAGCGGGCCGAATAATCCCTATAGGCCAAGTTTCGGGCAAATCCGTGATCTTGACCCCCTACCGTAATCCTACCGTAACTCCACCGGATAGCGCTGTCGCACGAAATAAACATCATACTCGTGTTCAGCGTACCAAATAACCTCCCTAGACGAAGTTTTAGCGAAATTCACGACCTTCATTTTTTGGGTCAACTTATGTGGAATAGCGCCAATCCTCCGTCACGATTTTATAAATGACCTATATGTATTGTATTCTATTGTGTTGTAATGTTAATGTATTCATAATTCATTACTCTTTACCAGTTATGGTATAAACTGGACTTTATATCGCTGTATAATAAATTGAGAAGTGCCGCCAAAATTTTGATCACCGCTTTTTCTACCTCGAGTTCTTCAACTCCACCGATCACCACAAAGCCAAAACAAGTTGAGGTAATTTCAGACACCTATTGTAGAATCTCCATGGCTTTTGCTAGCAATATAAAATTAAGGTGGAAGAGCTTCTTGGTGATAAAGTTAATCGGGTCAGGCGCAACCCTCAAAAGGTCAGGCTGCTTGAGCTTTGAGGAGTTGTGCCTGACCCCTTAACTTGCCTTTAAAATCTACTTTTTGCTATAGTGGAGATTTGGCCCCCACCCCTAGAAGAATTATGGCCCTTCCAATAGGCCCATTCAGACCCAAATCAGCCGTCAAATTACCTGTGATTGTAAAGTGCAGTCACAGAAAATCGGGCGTACAGTTCAAAAACCTGAAAACTCTCTAGAAAAGGATGATGTCCTCCAAAATGTCACACTCTGAGGTTCCGGAGGTCAAGAGTAAAAATGGTCGTTTAAGGGCTTTCATGGGAGGAGTAGGAGTCGTTTTTAAAAGACTTGTGCCTGACCTCTTGCTCAACTTTGATTTGAAGGGTGTGTCATGGCCTAATGGTTTCAAGTTTCAGTAAGCATAACTCTGAGTTTCAGAAACGGAAGTCAGAGTTATTTCGTGAGTTAACGCGGAGATTTTAGCTCGAAGTCTACCGACTCTGCTTTTGCGTTTCTTTGAAGGCAATGTGAGGTAAAACACAATACCAAACATCGTTTTGTACAGAATGTTTAGATCAAGTTGATCTCATTTTCTATCCAATTTCAGAGCATGAGAGAATCAGAATCTCTCATCTTCTATGCAGCCCTCACTCTCAAGATTTGTGGATGACTCGTGGCCAAAAATGTTGATCAGTCGAGGATGCAACCTGAACGACCTTCTTTTGGGTAGTCAGAGTGCAAAGTCACAATCTCACCTGAAGTGCAAAGCGGTATTTTTGGGTTGCTCCAGAATTTCGCCGTCTACATTCCACACTCCAGTATCTGCTTCGTTATCATCCGGTTCAAAAGACCATCTATGCACTCGAAAATACTGGGTGGCCCAGTCAAGTTTAACTACCTAAAACATTGTTTTGGTATGTAGGCAAATGAGACTGTTCTTCACCTCTTTCCCTCCATAAATAGCGAGATTTTTCATGAATTGTACATTATGCAACCTAGAGATTTTTGGAACCAAAATAAGATCGAGAGTTCCATCATCAACTCCTGTAAATCGTTTGTATTTTTTTGAGATCAATGCGAAACTTTCTTTGCATCAACAATTTATATCAACCAATCAAATCAGCGGTTTACATGCAATAGGTTACTGATGTGAATTTGATGTCAAGCGACATAATTGTCTCGCTAGACAACAAAATTTCCTGGAATGCTTTCCCAGGATTGCAAGCCTATCACTCGAAAATCCCGCAGGCGGTGCTGCCGTCCACTCCTCGAAGAAAACTTCTTACAAAGCTGACATCTGATTTGAGCTCAAAAAATTCTTCGTAGTGCACGAGTAAAGGCAAGTCTGGCCCGTATGCACTAATTTCTGCGGCCAGAAGAGCGACGTCCCCAATGGTGAAAAACGGTGTCCGCACGCGGCACCTTCATAACGGGGACGCCGTTCCCCTCGTCGCAGGGATTCTAGTGTATACGATACTTAGGCCCGTATGCACGTACACACCCTCTGGGGAGGGGAGAGATCTTGGGAGGGGGGGGGGGGGGTGGGGAACGTCACATCTTGCTACCCTAAATATCTGTGTTTTTCTTCTTCTGTTTATGTTATGAAGGTTTTTATACCCTGATACTTGAGTATGATGAATGGCAGAACATTGCCATACAAGCTGAATTTTTACTGTTTCGTGCAATCCCCAGTCATTCACTGTTTTCAAAGTCGGTTATCTTTTCAGTATTTTGAAGAACGCCGTTAAGTTGTACCGAGGATCTGCCATGGCACTACTAGGAATTTGTCGAAAACAAATGGATTGTGCAGGTTGTAAATTTTTCGATGAACTTCAGCTCATGAACAGCGGTTCGCCGATACATTCGATATTCTTAGATTTCACTTTTCTTCTATAAACATGTTCAACAGTGCCATATATCCCTGCCACAATATCACAGAATTTTCATCAAGTATATAGTAAGATAATTGGCTTTGAAAATGTGAGGTGATCCCCGAGGATCACCAGGGGATTATCTCATCCATTTAAAGCCATTTGCCTTCCTATCAATTTGTATGGTAAAGTGTGGTCATCCTACACTCAGATTTTAGGGAGGTGAACTTCATAAGGAGGATATAAAAACATAATACTGTTACCTAGAGTAGCGAGATATGGGGCCTTACATAACGTATCAAAACATGATAAACACGTTATCAAGTATACGGCATTCTGATTAGCGACGAAGATCCGACTGCGGTCTTTGCGCCCACCTGAAAGTTACAAAACACAACATTCAAGCACGTTAGCGCTCAGCTCAGTCAGTTCAGGTGTCGCATCTAACATATATATGCAAAAAAGGTTCCAAAAGGAGAAGAAAGCAAATACAATGCGATTGCGCAGCTTTACCGGAGAATCCCCCTCCCCTCTCCCGGAAAGCCTAGGACAGAAAGCCTGGAACTGCGGCTGCCCTTAGATAGGTACGCGAAGGATGCAAAAGCTGGAGTCAGGCATGTACGATTATACGACCGATTTCGGACCAGTTGACGTCTTGGGCAGGGCCCGGCACAGATCGTCTGGAAGCAGACTGGAATTCGCTTCTGGAGCAAAAAGCAAAGGAGATATCGTTTCTGACGAGTCGAGGCCACCAAGAATAAGCGCCATTTAGTTAAACACAAGCTTTTCGGACAGGTTATCACTCGATTGACGTGCTCTATCGTGTATGACGAAAAGTTCGCGCGATTTGAAAGCAAGGCTAAAATAAACAAAGTTGCTTGTTTACAGCGCACACAGAATTATATGACACCAAAATTGAACTGCTTACACAGAAAATTATTCGCAAAAGAACTAGGCAAAAAGTTTCGAGAAATAATGTGGAGTATTACCTTTTCCAAAATTAGTCTGTTACAGATGATCTGAGCGTTTGGAGCATAAATTTCTGTAACTTCAAATAAGTTTTGGATTTTTCCATCATGGACGGGCTCCCCGGTCAAAAGTCTATCCCTGAGCATGAAAATACTTTCATATCATTGCCTTTCCTTTGTTTTTTTTTGCCTTAATTTCTTCATAAATCGCTTTTTTAAATATCGCGCTCCAATGTCAAACGCTTGTGCGTGCGTAGTATTCACCTCTAATTTGGATTTTCACTCTTAGGCACGCGCCATACTTGATCCGCTTCGTCATTGGTCGATTCAGTGAACTGTGCAGTGGCGAAGCGGTTGTCCGCTTGATCCGCTTCATCCACTTCACTATTGGTCAGTTCACTGAATTGACCAACGACGAAGCGGATCAAGCGGATCGAGTGGATTAAGCGGATCAAGTATGGCGCGTGCCTCATCTCACGTTTCTTTCTTTCAGACTAGTACATGTTTCTTGCTCTCATCTTCTCCTAAGCAGGTAAGTCAGAGGGGACTTTGTAAAACTTTCGAAAGTCAGGGGAGACTTCGTTTTCAGAAACCCTAGAAACCGACTCGCGGCCCGAGCCCTGGTCTCGGGTCTGAGAGCGGCATACGACCACCGTGACAACGTCCTGCATGCACTTGAGATGTGAGCATCACCGCACCGCAGTGCTTAATTTATCTGTCACCAACAAATGGCAACGCAATCCTTGAATCTAGGAAGCTGGTTCTGGCTCAACATCGTGCAAATCCGTGAGAGTTTGAAGCAGCTAGATAGGTTAGCGATTGCCGTAGTTTTATATTGCTCGCTGGAAGGCATACTTGCACATTGAGAAACGATGGCCAATTTCCCTGGGGCTTTTTCCACGTAAACTCGATAGTCGCAAATGGTTAGTTCAAATAAATTCGATCCTATATTCAACCCGTAACGAAACTTCGTATGAGCTCATCAAACGTAGGACAAATAGTACGTGCTGTGAACACAAAATTGATTACTATTGTAAGTTACCTGTGGATGGAGCCAGTGGATAAGGAAAATACGATATATATGTTGGAATCACATAACAAATGATGTGAGTAAATTCATTATGCCAGTGATGGTCATACTGGGAGTGGAATACCTTCTGATGATTAGAGCTGCAATACTTGTTTTACATTAGTTATGGATGTGAAAAACTGACCCTAAAGAAGATTCGCACTCTTTGCACGGAGGAAGACATGGAGATTGATTCGAATTCTCTGCTTCCTCGGGTGACAATGAGAACGAAACCTTTCCCTTGTAGGTTGGATGACGCAGAGTTGTACGCACAGCTGAAAGTGTTAGGCCCTGATATGAAGACCATTTCTGGAGGAGTTACCGCTTAGTTCATATCTGGCTGGGCCCAAGTATCTGTACCGTTCAGAATCTCGCAAAAGATCTCCTGTCCAGCAGTATGCTATGGCATTAGCGGAAATTCGCAGCAAATGGTTGTCCCCATGAACTGAGCATATATCCATCTTGCGTTCCAAACCTGAGAAAGTTCGGAACGTGCTTGTGAACATGTTTACTCCCACTGAGATGATTTGGGTAGAGGAACGAATACTTTAATTAGGCACCGCCTCCCGGACTACTGGTCCTGAAGGTGTGCACCAGTATGCGCAAAAGAACAGTGGTCGCAGAAGCGGCCCCTAATTGATGTAAAGCTTCTCTGAAATCTGATTCTTGTAAGCAAAAGAAAATTGCAGCGTAAAGTATTGCTATCAGGGTTTTGATTCAAATTTGTAAATTTGGTTTCTACTTTGAATGAAATGTACAGGCTGCATCAAGCATCTGGGAGCGTACTTTGCAGCACAGTAATTTGCAACTACTGAAGATTTTGGTTTCATTGTTTTTGTGATTTAATGCTGCAATCTTCCTCTACAAAACGTACTTTTTAAGCTCATAATGATTGCCTTTTTAAGTACTAGAATTATCAAGCTATTATTTGTGCAAAGAAAGAGAGTCAAAGTTTCTTGTATTTACAATTTATCTCGTAGTTGCAGATACCGAGAATACTCTATAACAGACTGATGCCCACAATGTAAAGAAGGTTTTGCGCTATCACACCGTAGTAATTCTGTTTGCCGAAGTCATTTCCTCGTAGAGGGAAAATAAAAATCTGCGAATGTTGCCAGCGCAAGCATTTGTCTGTAACGAATCTGAGAGCAGAAGCGCAGTAATCAATGAGTCTAAGGCTGTATTCTTTCATATGCCTTCTATATAACCATCTGCTTGAGCGTTGTTGATGGGACGTTCCAAGCTTGCTAAACGTTGATTTTCCGTTCCCCTCAAAAAACGGTATAGGCTGCCGGCAACGGCTGCCGAAGCTGCTAGCCGAGGTTGCTGGGGTTGCCGAGGTTGCCGGTGTTGCTGGTCGCTGTAGAACCTTATGATAGCCTCCACGTTTCGCGCGCTTTAGCTGTCTCTGACCCCGGGAACGCCGGCAACCTCGCAACAAGGCCCGGCATGAGTCCGTTTCTAGGCGAAGTCCCCCTTGACTTTCTTGAAATTTACGAAGTCCCCTTTGACCCTAAACCATATCGTAAAAAACCCTTAGAGAACAAAATGTCGCAATTTTTTGCGTCTTTTCGGCCACAAAAACGACATCCTCTTTGCTTTTTCGCCCCAAAAACAAAGTCCAGCTCGTTCCCATACGATCTGTGCCGGACCCTGCTCGGCAAAACCAGCAACCTCGGCAACAGTTGCCGGCAACTCAAGGCCGTCCCTTTAGCGCAGTTGTACCCAAATCTCCAGTATGCGATGTACACATGCTTACGATTAATTCTTCAGAGTTGTCATTCCTGAACGCTGCGAAAAATTTCTTCTCATTCCTAGAGCCAATGGCTTGCCCCATGGTGCTGCACATTTCGTTGAAAGAAGCAATTACTGTGGCGTGAGCAGAGTTGCGATAGGGGGAGTGATGGATCTTACCCCCTTCACTTTGAGGCCAACCTCCCGATGACCCCCTTCACCTGGGCTGAGATTGGTATCGTACTCTGAGAATATGATAAAAATCGTTATGAAAAGCAGGCTAAGTACCTCAAACAACAAGTACACTCATAAATTTACTAAAGAAACGGTATTTATGTTTATTTATATTATTTATTTATCCTCGTAGCATTTTGGAGAGAAGAAAGTAAGTACACAAAATCAGTTAATTTTTGAAGCACATAAAATCCCTCATATCTCGCGGCACAGAAGACCTAGAAAAAAGTCGACGGTCTATGTCGATTCTCCATGATCTCAGCTTTCGAATGGTATACAGCATGTTAGGGCTTCTTTGCTTCCCGGCTCTAAAAATCATTTTCTCCGGTAACCGATAAAAGCCAATACATTGGTGGAGCCGGATTGGAGCAAGCTAATAGTAAATATCTCCACCCCATTTTTAAAAACTGGTCCGTTTTTTCGCCCAGCAACCTATATACCATTCGAAAGCTCAGGAAAAGGGGATTCGACCTAGACCGTCGACTTCTTTCTAGCCCCCCTCTACCGAGAGATACACCGCATTTTATCTGAAAACATGGTCATTTTCAACAGCAGATTTCTGCCAAATGAAGACCTAATCACTGCTGCTTATCTATCTGTGTTAAAGAGCAAGTCTTCATTAACAAACGTAGACCGTCGACTTTCTCGTAGCGTTCATTTGGAGAGCAGAAAGTGAGGACACAAAATCAGTTAATTTTTGAAGCACATAAAATCCCTCATATCTCGCGGCACAGAAGACCTAGAAAAAAGTCGACGGTCTACGTCGATTCTCCATGATCTCAGCTTTCGAATGGTATACAGCATGTTAGGGCTTCTTTGCTTCCCGGCTCTAAAAATCATTTTCTCCGGTAACCCACAAAAGCCAACACATTGTATAGGTCGTCCCGAAAGTTTTTGAGCACAATTTTCAAAAATTCATAACTTCTGATTTTTCCAACCGATTTGACTGCTTTCACATTTATGTGAAAGGGTAAGTCATGCTCTTTATAATGACATCCCAGCTGCTTAGCAATGGTCATCTGTTGCATAGATAAAAGCTCAAAACAAAATCACTCAAAATTTGAATTTTTGTGTAGGGTCATAAAAAATCAGAAACTTGCAACAAAATCGGAGCAGTCGGTATTTTAGGTTCTTTCACCAACTCTTTCTAACATGCAAAGTTTGCCCCGATTGAGCGTCTCCATGAAAAGTTATAATTTCCGAGCAAGCGGTACAAAAAGGCGAATTTGATTTATTTTGGCATTCTTCAGGGAAATCGTAACTTTTCATGGAGACGCTTAGATTTTTGTTGCAAGTCTCCGATTTTTTATGACCCTACACAGAAAATTAAAATTTTTACCATTTTTCTTCTATCGCTCCTATCTATGCAACAGATGACCATTACTAAGCAGCTGCGATGTCATTATAAAGAGCATGGCTTACCATTTCACATAAAAGTGAAAGCAGTCAAATCGGTTGGAAAAATCAGAAGTTATGAATTTTGAAATTCGTGTGCAAAAACTTTCTGGACGACCTAATAAGAGCGAGGTGGAGCAAGTTAATAGTAAAAAATGTGCTATGGATTGACATCGTTATCAGCACTAACGGGAACGTGAGCGAAGGCGCCTATTTGAGCGTGCTTATCGTTGTTATATGTTTATGTTGTTTTTTGGTAAAAAATGCGCTTTTGATTGACAGTTATGCCATCATTGTTAGCACACACTCAAAAAACTATGGGAGATTGGTGAATTTCCACACCTTCACACAAAACCCGCCCATTTCTGGAATCTATACTCTGTAAACCTAGTGCTGAAGAAGGTCACTTTCGTGAAAACGCTCTAGACTCACCTTACCTAATTTGTAGAGAATGGTTGGCTTCAATGAATTAAAAACTTCAAGACATTCAGAAGAATAACATGTTATTAAAATATTCTTCAATGTTTTGGAAAGGTTGGCAGTTTGAAGAGGAAACGGCAGGCAGAATACTTTACAAAATCGCAGATGAGCATGTGTTCCAGTTCAACAGCGAGGCAGAAGGAGAATCTTACGCCGACGAAAATGTTGTCGACATTGATACAGAGTTGACGATTAAGCGAAACTCTCTGATTTCCTACATAAGGAATTCAAGCAGATTGCTTAGTTTCAATGAGGAAATGTTCAGGAAGTCCATTGCTGATCTTCAGGTTGCTGAAGAATTTAAGGCTGCTAAATTCACAAACATGGATATGAACAAAAGGAAGGTGTTAGTACAAAGCATAGTTACTGCGCTTAGATCCCGGCTGGAGTGCGAACCCAACTCTGTGCTTTATGCTTTTGAAAGTTATTCGCCTTGTGACAATATGACCTATGATATTGAAAAAAAACCAACGCGCAGCATAGTACCTCCTTTTTTCGGCTATTCCGCAGATGCTGTTAAAGATGAAGTTGAGCAGCTTTCTAATCAGCTTACAGGACGTATGCCAGAGGAGATGAAGCCAGAGTTCGACAAGGCCCAAAAAGTACACTATTTCCTTCCCGTGTTGCGGAAGCATATGAGATCTGGCTCTTTTCCCATTACTTACCGCAAAAATCTGATGGACCTACTAGCAAAGCTAGTTTCCATTCCGACTAGCACGGCAGAGGTGGAGAAAGAAATTTTCTATCTACTCTGTTATCAGAACACAACGCAGAAGTCGTACAACGATAGAGCATCTAAGCAAATACTTAAGATTTGTCAACCCTCTACTAAACACATTGTTATCTAAAAACTTCATTTAAAGGACTGGTATAAGTGGTCCAGACAGTGTTACCGTATGACTTTTTGAAATATCCTAAAAGAAGGTACGAAGAAACTGGTCACCTACCTGCTGACTTCCTGGTGCTACCAGAGGGCCAGGAAAAAAATCACAAAAGCGTTTAAAAGAAGAAGAAAGTTTCAAATCCATTTTCGACTCAGAACGCTTTTGCACGCAATTCTACTTCTACTCCGATGACCTTTTGGAGGAAGAAGAAGATTTTTCAGGCAGCGAACTTGTTGTCTCTGACGTTAGCGATAGTGATATTGTTGATGATGATGTGCAGGAAATGAAGTTGTTCCTAACTTGTACATCTTTTGGGATAAACATTATTGCTTTCGTTTTCTTGTTGATGCAGTGAAACAGGAGCACAGATCTTCATAATCAATTTTTTTAATTTTTTAATTTCTCTTGAAAATTTTTAATTTTTTTTCAATTTGTGCCTAAATAAGGTGCAAATTAGAGCTCTTCATACCACGCTTTTTTACCTTTTCTCTCTTCCTCCTCCCCCCCCCCCCTAGACTCACATACCCCCTTCACCCTGGAAGGTCGGGAACAGCCGAGACCCCCTTCACCTGGGGAGAGCCCGGCTCCCCCTATCGCACCTATGGGCGTGAGACGAATCTCATTGCGACTACTTATACGCCACGATACTGCACCCAAGACTGTGAATGCCTGCGTTGAAGCAAAAAAAACTATTTTGGATTCGAGAGGTGAAATGTATTTGTAAGTGTTCGAGTCACGTGTGCACCAAATTTTTCGTCTCTAGGTACTTTCCCTATTTTATAGGTAATAGTACTAGGTTCCCAGACTTTGACGCACTCTGTACCTAAAACAATATGAAGCGCCGCCGTGGTAGGGTCATGGATTCCGTGTACTGTTCTTGCGATGGAATTCGTTGAACCGGCGCCAATAATTCCAAAACGCACGTGAGGGGCTTCCCAAAACAAATGCTCCGGCTTGTCGTAAGGTATCCCTGAAACTCAATTAGAAACAATTTTTCGTTTTTATGAAATGAGATGACCTGCTTCCTGTTGTGTACGAATAAGAGCACCAGACAAAACTTCATTGAATAAACCATCGCCTCCCACAGAAAGCTGCATGCAAGGATTACAAAGAAAATTCTTGAAAGGTGAGACTTACGAGACTGTCCACTGAGTTCCATTGTTTCGCCGGCATTTCCTCCATTATGTAATCCCGAGCATGATTTGCTCTTTGCGTAATGAGCACTCCATAGTGAAGACTCTCTATAAGTTTGAAAATTGGTTCCACCTGAAGAGACCAACAATGATCCAGTCAGAAGCACAGCAATGTATTGGATTACCTCTTGCTCAAATATCGATAGAGCTTTACCCATGCCGCCGAATGGATTTATGAAAACAACAATATTCTTAGGTCGATCACTACCTGAGTGTGGTCGTAACCATCAAAGTTCATTCAAGTATAATGTAATGCACGAACATTTCATCGCCGCGGTTAGTACACCTTTCCATTCATCTCTTTCCTGGTCACTTTTGAATTTCACTTGCAGCTGTTTTAACCGCAGGCAGTTCTGGTCTTTCTTGAAGGCATATATGAAGCAAAGGGAAGAGTCATTCGAGTCCTGGAGTGGAACTTGCTAGTTTTGCTCATTGAAGTAGAGGCATGTTCTGTCCGATTTTTCTGCATTATGTTTGGAGCAGCTGTTCTAAGAGCATTTTACCTCTAATGCGATACTGTTTGTACCGTTAGAGGTCAACATTTGATAAATTCATCAGTCTAACGAGATTGGCCTGAGATCCCCGGGTGGCCGAGATACGTTCCCACCTAAGATAAGTATTCTCCACAATGCGCCGCTCAAGTCATGTCCTTTCATCGGTTGCCGAATAAGGGTGTAAGAGGCTAGTATACGCACCAGCTCAATTTCACGAAGAAAGCGTTTGCTAGTAAACCTTGTTGTCGAACATTAATTTTTTGTATGTATGTACTACGAGCAATAACTTTCTGCGAATAGAGACAATCGATGAACCCAAAGTTGGAGGTGCTAGATTAAAGCAAGAGCTAGCGGGGCATCCACCAGTTCCTCTTCACCGCTCGTGTCAAGTTCAAAAGTTCATAACTAGTAAATAGGTATGCACCCATGTACCGAAGCGAAGTCAAATAGCGGCTATTTTTTTTTCGGTCAAAAAATCTCTCGGTACTGAAGACCATATGTGCTCTTTTGAGCTGCAAAATGAGCTTTGAAATTTCTTTATCTATCCATAAATAATAATATGCCTATCACTTCTCATAAGGGCTCGGGCATAGCTCACGCAATTCCAGACGCGACGCGATTTGGCAATATTCCAAACGTCCAGTGGCCGTATTCATCAACGAACCCTTGAGGTTAAAAGTTACCTCAGCTAGCATTTTAATTTATAACCCGATTCACAACATGATCGCAATGAAATTTTCCCGTGGGTTAAATCTACCTTGAGGTAGAAATGAACCTTGAAGCATATGAACCTATATTCATCAATCTACCTCAAGGTTAAAATCTACCTCCATCATCATTTCTCCTTCACTTTTCACTATGCATTCAAGGTAGGTACCCTAGGATAGCTAGGGTTAAAATCTATCTTGACTTTGCACAGAACAATTAAACTCTTTTTTAGAGCCTCCTCGCAAATATATTATATTTTTAATAGCTCGAATGCTTGTTTATTTAGTCTTTTTTTCTCATCTAGTCATGGTTTTCAAGATTTCGAATTATTCAATGATCATTAGTGGGCGAACCATCGAACCAATTAATGACAAGTCGCATCGGTAATCTATAATTCAACGAGTTCCTCCTCAAAATTCTTTACAACTTGTGGCCGTCAACACATTCATAAGAATTATACTTTGCCTTTCTAAGCTTTATGTCAGACATAACAAAGCTCTAAATTGTGCAATTATATATATGGCAGAAACGGCGCGCCCTTTACGTTTTAATGTAAAGAACAGCTTAAAGGCAGGATAGATCACCTACATCCGCTCCATTGGTACCCACAGAGTGCAAGATCATCAACGAGTTGCTTTTGGTGTGAAAGTTGCCTAGCGCGCAGAGCTCGAACATCCACTTGCAAACTTTAAAAGCCTTTTGAATTTATTTTAGAAAAGAATGTCTCCATGTTACGCGAAGACTCGCGCTATATCTGGATCAGATCTCCTACTGTGAAAACATATTTGATTCCTTTTCAAGCGGTCACTAAGCGATTTCCCAGAACCTTACCCGCAAACGAAATGTGAGTACTGCGTGTAGCAAACTGCTTATGATTTGAGAAAAGCAAGGAATTCTGTAGTAGGATTGAGGAGATGCCTGATCGGGTAGTTTTCAAGTTGCTTTTGCCCTTATTGCCGAAACGTTAGTCTAAATAGATAATCGCCAATCTCGGTCGCAGCTAAAACTAAATCAATGCAGTATTCATCCTATTATAAAGTTTGATGAAGATACTGTGTGAGATTGACTGGATTGCAAATTTTGCAATCCCAAAAATTGTAATCTGAGAGATATACCATACCAACACGTTGTTTTTCTCCTGAATAATGGGATGATGATATAATTCTTGAAATTGGAATCACTCAATCACACTTGCAGTATCTTCCCCAAACATTAAACTAAACGAGAAAGTGTCTCATGTTATGCTTCCCGTTTAATGAAGACGGCTTCGACTTTAGGAGATGAACTTCGATAAAGCAGATCCTCACGGCATTCTCTTGAGAAGCTTCGACGACTTCTACAGAGGCAAATCGTATATTGAGGACTATTAAGGTGGCTTATTTCTGTATTTTGTTTTCTTGTCGCAAGCGGCGCAGAGAGGTGTATGGTTCAAAAGTTTTCATTAAATTTTGATTTCTGGGTCAGGAGATATTGCAGCTGATGCGAGCAAAATTAATGGCGCAAATAATGACTACAAACGCCTCATAACTATTTAGAGCAGTTTCAATGAATGTTCACTCAAATCTTCAGTTCCATTCTTGCAAAGCCTAAAAGCAAGATTTTTCGCGCGCAGAGGCACACATACAGTTTGCCCCAATCCTAACCAGGCCAAAATTGGATTGGCGGGAGTGCGCGCCGCAAGGGCTTCGCGCCACTTCTGCGTCTAGCTAGTCTGCTCTCTCCTCAATCTCTTCGCTCTTTGCGACAGCGTGCTTATGCAGCGCAAACCTCTAGCGCTGCGAGCGCGCAAATTCAGCCGACGGTTCGGCCTGATCCCGATTGGGGCAGACTATCGATTTGCGGTTTATATCGCGCAGCTCAAATTCAAATCTACTTACACTCTGATAGTCAAGAAGCGTAGGCTTGTATCTAATGAAACTCCGTTGACACGCTCAATTATGAAGATGATTTCCTAGTCCCATAGGTACGTGTCATACTCCTCCAAAAACGCTTAAAAGCGCCCAAACCCCTAAGCCCAAAAGCACCAGAACGCAACTTTTAGCAAACATTTCTAGAAACGCCAGCCAACGCTACAACTGATTTTGAATTGCGGAATAGGAACTCGTCATCTCTCAAAAACGTAGATTAAGAATCGCAATGATGACATTAAGCCAGGGTACAATCAATTTACAAGTTGTCTCAGCATGTTATTTCAGAAAGTTTTTGAGTGCAAGCAGCAATTATGAACGATGTATCAAAGTAATTTGTAAAGGTATCTATTCTTCTAGCGGTCGAAAGTAAAAGTCATGCAAATAGCGTTGGCTTGTGTTTACAAAGCAAGAACACTTTTATGGTGAAGCTTGAGCCGACATTGAATGTAATCGGAACATGTTTCATGATAAATGTGACTGAATTTAGTTGTTCTCTTATACGTATTTCCAAAACTAACGCTTCAACGCAAAGGTCACGCTCGTAAAGGAAGCATTCTGGCGCTTCGGCGCTTCTGAGCGCTTTGAGAGCTGTTGGGCGAAGCATGAGTGGTTCCTAGGAACTGCGCACCCGAATGGAATCGCTGGGCATTCTGGCGCTTCCCCGCGCTCTTGGGCGCTTTTGGGCGCTTTTGAGTGAAGTACGACGGGTCTCTTAGAATGCTTTTTTGCTAAAACACGGAATTTGGAAAAGATTTTAAACAGCGAGGGATATACCGCTAATATGTCATGGCATGCTCTGTATAAGCGTCAGTGAGCATTCAGCTGACCACCAGGTAGATTTTAACCTTAAGGTAGATTTGTGAATAGCAAAGTTACCTTGAGGTTAAATTCTACCTTGAGGCATGTTCTCAAGGTAGAATTTAACCTCAAGGTTCGTTGATGAAACGGCCACAGAATTCGTTGTAAACATATTTTAGATGTACAAAAGACAGGGCATTTTTTCAATCGACGAAAGTTACATACACTATGCAATTTGTAGTCTGCCGGTGTACAGTCGAGTAGATTTCCTGCTTAATATAGTGTCCCTGCAGACGCGACAACGGTTGTGCGTCGATAATTGCCGTTGCGAGTCTCCGAACGATGTTTTTTAGTGTTTTCTTCCTTATTCTTTGCCTTTTAGGTGACGACTTGCTGATGAAGGAGAAAAGGTAAGCTGAGGAGTAATTTCTGTTTTCTTAGTAGTTGTACTTCACTCATTCTTAATCAGTCTACGTGGAAGTTACATCGCGTCAGTTTTCTGTGTATTTTGCGTCACTTAAAGTCCGTTTCTTCTTGTGAAGCATTTCTTTTTGAATACTAGTAGGTTGTGCAGCAACTTCGGCTGCCTTTCAAACATAGATAGCATTTAACAATTTGATACGAGTGATAAAGACGATAAGTCATACGTAAAAGCCTACTAGCGTTCAAAAAAAGGTTTCACACGAAGCAAAGGCATCAAGTTACAAAAATGTACACATGAAACTGACGCGAAGAGGCATGAAGAGACAAGAAATACACATGAAACTGCGCGAAGTGACTTCCACGATTATTTGAGAATAAGCGATTATAAAACTACTTAGAAAACAGAAATCACTCTTCAGCTTACCTTTTCTCCTTCAGCAGCAATGAGTCATCTGAAAGGCGAAGAATAAGGACGAAAACACTGCAAAAACATCATTCGGAGACTCGCAACGGCATTATCGACGCACAACCGTTGTCGCGTCTGCAGAGACACTATATTAAGCAGGAAATCTACTCGACTGTATACGATTTGAAGACATCTGGCAAGCTGCCAGATTACGTCGCGATTGACATCGTGTGAACTATGCCCGAGGCCCAAGGGGGCATTGCCATGTCAAAAAAGACGAGTTTGAAGAAGAACGCCATGAAGTTTTTGAGTTATCGCCTTTTTTAAAAAGGGTTTTCCGCTCTTGATATTTTCCTGATAGCCAAAGACCTGCTCAACAGTCACTCAACTTTTAGAAATGGTTAGACCAAACTTTGCACACATACACTTCGCGGCGGGGCGGATGTCGCAGGCTACTTTTCGTTATCGATCGGTCGATATTGACTTTTTTTGCAAAGTTTGAGCCGGATATTGTCAACACCAATGGCGGAACGTGGGTGTTTTCGTGCCTACTTAGGCTGGGCTGGCGAGGCGCTGAACTGGCGTTGGTGCAATGCCAGCGCTGACAACGCTGTGCACTTCCTCAGGATGACATTTTCTTTTTACTGAAGGATGTTTCAAAAGCTGCTCTTGCATCTACGATCATTGAAAAAATAAACAGCAAGGTTTTGTATTCATACCGTTGCATCACCTCTGATTGGAACTTCCCCTCTGATATAAGCCGGGCTCGTTCGTACACAAAGCAGCTCTTTCAGATTGAACGTTATTGGCAGTGTGCTACGTCGTCCAAAGGAGTCAAGATAATTGCTTCTGCTGAAACTACTTCGTAGACATAAACTCAAATGAAATTTATGCGTTAAAGTTGCCAAATTTAGCTATTACTTGTCTTTGAGTTTAATACGAATGATGATGCTTGCCTTGGTATCTCTAATAACGTAATTGTATTGGTGTATCGGTCGAAAAGGAGTGTCTGCTTCTTGCCAGTACATGAGGAGACTTCCGACTCCAATATTCGTTCTGGGAAATTTCCTTTTTATCAAATAAAAATCCGACAAAGGTCATATAGACTTTTTTTGACCTTAGCATCCGTACAGACCTCGCGCTAAGAATGCAGTGCAGATCTCATGCTAAAAGTATAGGTCATTTCGATCGTGTGCGGTCAACTAATTCAAACGGATTTTGTGCAAAATCTGCGACATATTAATGACGTGATGTAAGACAGTGATGTCATAAGCAACTGATTATTGGAAGGTTAAGCGGTTTGACAGTCATACTTCAAAAAATCTGCCAAATTCTTAGAATAATCGCGCGGAAAATCCACTCACCTCTGCAAGTCTCCGACACGGGATTCTCTGACATTTTTGAATGAAGCTGTTTTGCCACCTGAAGATCGCAACGGTACTGGAACATAATCATGAAATATAAAGAAAAGAAGTGCGATCAGATGCTAAGTCGCTAGAAATATCACGCGATTGTGATAGAAGGGAAAGACAGTGTGGGAATGCTTATCAGTATCCAAAGCTAAGGAAGTATATTTTTTACAAAGCGCATCAGCTGTTCAATAATAGCAGTTGGACTTCTTTCCTTTATGCGTAGCTTGTTTAAGAATGTCCAATGGTCTCTTTATTGCTGCTGTTCCACAAAGGAAGGACACTAATCCGCACTGGTAAGTTGAGGAGAGATGTATATCACAGAATTCTTCCAGATCTGCTTTCTTTCTCTGCTGAACGACTCTCCGAAAAAGTTATGAGCATGTGAGAGGAAAAATTCGAATTTTAAATTAATAATTACAGTGTACCTAATTCCAAATTATCGAATTCCAAATAAATAATTACGGTGTACCTAATTAGGAAAGGATACTTGGTCGAAGTGGATTTCTATAGGAAATGTATACTGTTTTATAGAGCATGGGACGCTGATTCCGAACTTGCTTTCATTATTGCAAAGCGATTCCGGAAGGGAGTTATGGAAATTATGTGAGCAAAAATTTCAAGGTGCAGCTACTATAAAAAACATTCGGAAATGTAGTCTGTGAGCTCGGATGGGATCATGATTACTGTCAGGGCGCTTCGTACAGTAAAAACCATCATGTAATAGGTATCTATAAGCTTGTAGTTACTCATTCAATCGCCGAAAAAACTCCAACACTCGTTTTTACCTTAGCCGAAACCTTGAATTTTTGTTTAAAAAATTCTCATAACTCCCATCCCAGAAGCGGTTTGCAGATGTCGAAAGCAGATTTGGAATCAGAGTTTTATGCTATATAGGAGAGTATTTATTTATTTATTTATTTATTTATTTATTTATTGATACACTGTTGTGGACAGTGCGCCAGTACAAGACACGAATGCAACGACACACAAAGCAGTAATGAAACGAAATTGTGACATGCTCAACACCCTAGAGAAATTACGGAGACTGATTCTCTAAACCAGGTGCTCGTCAGTGTTGTCTTCAAAGTCAGTGTCGTGGGGGCTAAACTTGGTATAAGTACAAGTCCAAGTACGATGCATGACGGTATAGAAATATACGGTCACTTTCGAGCGAAGGAAGAGGGGTGAGCACTTAGGCGAATGAGCGAAATCATGCGTACCCGGCGGGCAGGAAACCTCGTTCGGCCTACCCCAACAACGCTAACATCGGACTTGGATACAAGATGATCAAGGATAAGAGACAAAAATAAAGCTACACGACAAAGACGATGTCAAATTTGGAAGACAAACACTAAGCTGCGTATATAGTAAGAGGGCCTCTGAGGTCAAGAGCATGCCAGCAGAACAGCAAAGAAGAAGAAAAAAACTGATGGAACAATATGGTCATACGAATGTATGCTAATATGCTATGCTAACGTATGCTACTATAACCCATACAACGAGAAACTGAAAACAAAACAACAAGGTAATAGTCGATTTGGGCAAAGGGAACGTGGACCGAAGTTTAGCAAAGTTGTCAAAGTATACAGTTACAAGTATACATGTTTCATGGAAACTACACTTCGACCAAATATCCTTCCCTTGTAAAAGCGTGAGAAGGTGATGAGAATAATGACCAAATGGAGGGAGTACGCCTTAGAAACCCGAATAGGTGCTTCTGAAAAAGATCTTCGCTGAGCCTAAGTCAATAACTACTTGACAAACAAACTCGAATTTCAAAGCGCTCATGATTTTTTTCTGCAGAGAGTCGTTCAGCATAAGAGAAAAATAATTGAAATGATGTACAACGGCGATTTTGATGTGATACATCTCCTCTCATTTCGATAGTGCGACTTGGTAGATACCAATTCCGCTGTCAAGCCAACACATTCCACACAAAACCTGACTCCTAACAGTCGTATGGAGAAGCTGCCCTGTGATCCCGCAGTGACTACTAAAGGAGCGACATATAGCGCTCTTGGCACCTGTTTCGAGGAGAAGCTGCTCTGCATATCGCAGCCGCGACACTCTAGGGGCTGAGGATCCAAAGGCCTATTAGCTTCGCAATTTTTTGAAATAAAAATTGTTAAAATGCAATTGTCGCGAAAAATGCACTTACTGAGTTCACTTGCTGCTTCGTATATGCTAAATCACTTTAAGTTTGCTGAATTCTTCCAAGATGAATAAAGATCGGCAATTATTGACGTGGTCTTCTCCAAGCAACCCTGATATTGAGAGTAGGCTGTCAAAAGTGTATATTCTTGCCACGCTGTCAAATATCAGTCTGAGGCACAGGTGTCAATGATTGATTCTGATTTTGGCTTTTTCGACCTGAGGGTTGAAGACAGCATCTACCCAAAATGGGGTTGATGAGATTTTGATGCCTAACAGTAGCGGGGGCCCCCATCTGCATATCTGCCCAATTCGCGTCGCCAAAAGTTACTTCCGAAGCTAGAAAATAGCTTCGGAAATCGCTTCGGATGACGATTGCGCCACGTTGGCTGCTCCCTTTTGAAAGGACACGACGTTCATCTCGCCCATCCGTGCGTACCCAACCAAACACCATTCCGGAGGACTCGCGCTACGGGTTTTGCGGAACTGGGATTGTCGTGGTTTTCGCGGATTCCCTACTTAATATTCGGCAAGAAAGTGAGAGGGCTTCGAAACTACAAACATGAAAGTTGAGAATTTCCGTGGAGGGTGCCTTTGAGATTCGACCACGCCTTATTTCTGGTACCAGTGAAGCATGGCCAAGTCCTTGAACAGATCCAGTGAGCTTTTTTGCGCGACAAAAATTGGTCTCCTACGGCAACCGTCGTCCTAGTTGTCCTGCAAGATTTGACCAGGAGGTAAGTTAGTATCCGATGTACTCCTGAGATCTCGCTCTAGCAAACTATCATCGAACCCATCTATCACAAACCGTACGAACAGCATAGTTTTGATCTTGAAGACGATCTCAGGCGCTGGGTAGACGACTTTTTTGGGACCAGACCGGCTGAGTTTTGAAAAAAGGAAAATTAAAATTTGATGACATGATGGCAGAAGGTTGTGCGCAACAACGGAACAAACATTGTTAATGGAATTTTGCCAAAATATTGTCATCTTGTTGATATTTCAAAACTCTACGAAGTTTTGAAACGGCCTAATATATGATTTAGTGCAGCTTAAGCACTCGGAACTCGTTTTGATAAAATATATCCCCATCTCAAGCACGAGATCTGGTACATTGATTGAACGGTAAAGCGGTAAAGCCCAGGGATCCGTCATCAGAAAATATCGCGGGAGAGTGGTAACGGGAGACACACGATTTTGTCGGGACTTTCGGGAATTGCCCGATGCTAAAAATGAAGCTGGGAAAAGTCAGGACAAGCGATTTTTGACAGGTTCATTTTTTTCTTCAAATTACAAGTACCTTATTCGACAATATGTCCTCATTTGGTAATGCATCACTTATTTGGCATACTGAATTGGGACGGCGGTGGACGTATGGATGCCAGACGCCTTGTTGGAAGACTTGTTGCCGCCGGCAGTAGCTATACTTTGTTCCTGAATGGGCACGCAACGCAAGTAGGTGTGATTCCAAAGGTCTTTTTGGAGGCTACAATGTGCCGTCTCTCTAAATTATGACGGTTAGGGGGAGGAGGAGAGTGGCAATGTCAACAGTGTTTGAGTTCCTCGTCTACAAGGTTGTTTCAACATGTGCAGTGTCTATTTTACAATTCCAATCTTGACGAAACTTTTTAAGCCTTGCAGTCAGTCTGGCACTAAAATTGGGCTTACATTTTAGAGAAAACGTTACTAGAGGACTATGATGAAGTCCACCCATACATGCGGATAAAAATGACCTTAAAAATGAGTTTCGAAAGTCAGCAGCAAGATGCCAAAATGCAAGTAAGGCTTCGGCGATATATTATCGTTATTATTACTGCTATTGTATGACGGAATGATCAACAGTACAATCTCATTTCTCCAGTACCCTTTGTTCCAACCGGATTGGCGGAAGGCGATCACTCCACCCGCGACGCAGTCCGCGTCTCTCTCGCGCCCGTGCTCTCTGATTCCCTAGCCTTGGAAGTCCCGCCTTCCAGCCGCCAATCCTGATGAATCAAAGGATACGTGTTTTCAGCGAATGATGAGTTCATTTACAGAAGTGATGCGGTAATGTATGGCCAAAACTCAAGCTTCAATGTCGTGCCAGTTAGATGACTTGACGAGAACGTCCGTTATTGTAGGAATCCTTATGAGATAGTTACTTCTAAATGTCTTAAAGGCAGATCGGGGCACATGGGGATCGCACCTGGAAATTGATTTTGAGGGTCTAGTACAATGCACAAGCGGCAGCGCAGACACGCGACTGAGATATTCGCTCCCCCCTCCCCCCCACCCCCAAACGAGACCCCGATACCGTGTTTAGGGGACGACTTGCCTCGGATTGCTTGCCATTGCGTGCGGACCCACAGCCCAGTGCTGAATCCCCGCGCAAAACCCTGCAAGTCGAGGTAAGTCGTCCGCTAAGTACGCTACTGGGGACAGGTGCTTGAACGCTGCATTTAAGCTTGACAATACCTGAAAATTCGCCGCAAATTCGGTTCATCTTCGATATATTTGAAGACAATTGATTCCACGAGATCAATATTCCTAGTTAAAAAGGCCCTCACACTTTCAATACAGCAAAGATAGGCGTGGAAAGAAAGCACATTATCGCTCTCACTGTTATTACTGTTACTGATGTTATTGGAATGTTGAATGTTGGGAATGACCAACATACAGTTCCATTTCTCCAATACTTCTCACCGCTGGTGAGGATATTTTCGGAGCAACCAGGTAAACGCACGGTCGAAACCGATTGCAAATCCACGCATACTCTCGATTCAACTCCTCAAAATTTTCTTCCTTCGTATAAACTCTAATTCACACATAACACAAGATGATCCACAGCATATTTGGTCAATGCCCATGATTTTATTTTCTTTTCTAAAAGAAATTCCTGCCAATGCGATTATAAATCCCCGTTTCGACGTACTGGAGAAATGCTCCTGAAAGACTGCGAAGTAATTTACTATCAAAGTTTCAAAATGCAATCACTGTATAAAAAAATATTTTGATTAGCTATGCATATAGCAAAAGCTGACAAGCTATTATCTGGAATTTTGAAAACTTTTCTTCCTTGTTGTTGCTGGGCTTCAGTGTTCTTTTAGAGAGTGCTGACAGCTACTCGCTTCAACCATGCTCACATCGAAATCTCGCTAAGACAGACAAGACATATATTTACTCTTCGACATTTCCAGTGTATTTCAGGTAAGACTGTACCGCAAATTATGAAACATTGATATGCGAATCACAATGACTTGAAGGTGTATGAAGAAGAATGTGATGGTATGGATTTCAATGTAAGGACTGTCGAAAGCAAAGGCAGCAAATCGAGGGCTCAAATAGGAGAGCAAAGTTCCGATCTATATACAACAGTGATAAAGCTCTGATTAGCTTTGCTTAACTATACACGATACTCGACTTTCTCTTCTTCACAAAGCTTTTTCTTTTTGATGGCTCAATCATAGCAGCGTCACGGCCAAAGAAACTGATTAATCGAGGATGTAATCTGAAACAGGCAAACTTTGTTGGCTCTGAATCGGAGATAGAAAAAAGACTGCTGTTACCTAAAATGCAGTGCCGTGTTTTTAGGCTGCTCAAGAATTTCTCCGTCCAAATTCCAAACACCTGGATCTACTTGATCAGCATCTGGTTCGAACGACCATCGCAACACACGGAAGCAACAAAGTGTACGGTCTAGTTGGTATAGCTAAAAAAACATTTCAATGAGCATACCAAATGTATTAGAGTGCTAAACTAACCCCCTTTCCACCGTACATGGCCACTTTTCGCATAAACTGTATGTTATGCCATCTTGAGATTCTTGGAACTAAAGCTAAGTCTAGGGTCCCGTCACCGATGCCTGTATAGTGTGTTATGATCAAGTATCTAGGCAAGGTAAATATAGTATTCGTACCAGTGAACGGTGCTAAACCGTAAGGTGTGAAAGGTGTGACAGTTGGAATCACACAGCAGATCACATGCGTGAATTCGGCATGCCAATGGTAATCGTACCGTGGATAGGCCAAACAAATTTGATCACTTCTAAAACCTCGTAATTGACGGTCCCATACTGAGGATAGCATAAAACGTTAAATTTGACACTCAACATAGTGTCAGCATTGCCAACAACATTTGTGCGTAAGGAGTGGGCATATAGCGCAAATTTTGAATGCGCTTAATGGCCAATCTTTAACGCGCAAATGTTGTCATCACCGCCGGGCCACCATATCACCCTCAAATCTATTATACTATTAGGAATCTCCTACTTTGACTGATCGCACGTCTCGCACGGTTTAACGCAAGCAGGAAGCATTTTATTTGGATCTTCTGTCTCCTTTCGCGACAACGTGAACTGAACTTTTCCTTTGTAGATTGGATGACGTATGGTAGTTCGCAGTGCTGGAAACAAATTTTTGAAGGAGAACCAAACAAGACCACGAAGAAGGCTTACCGCTCCATTGATATCTGATGGGACCAAGCCATCGGAAGCGTTCCGAGTCTCGGAGCACATCTCCCAGCCAACCATACGAGATCGCATTCGCCGAGATTCGTATCAGATGATTTTGTTTGTGTACTGTGCATACGTCCACGTTGCATTCGGAACCTGCAAAATGGGAAAATAAGTCGCTAAAGCAGAGGCAATAAGTCTATATAGATAACTGCGCATTCTGAAAAAGGACACTATCAACAATTTGCAAGTCAACTATATGACTGCGAATACGCTGACTGTACTGAAAATTATTCATTTTGCAGGCTGCTTCGCTCGGAATTTACGATAACAAAATCCGCGTCTTCAGTTCGATGAATTGTTTGATACCATTATCCAACATATTTTTAACGAAATTCATGATACATGATGATACAGTCTGTCCCAATCAGGATCAGGCGAAACGCTGACGCTGGCTTTGCGCGTTTGCAACGCTAGAGTTTTGCGCTGCTGTGTGCTGTCGGAGAGAGCGAAGAGATTAAACAGAGATTAGACAAGCAGGCCGTAGCTGTGGCACACATCCCAGACTCCCGCCATGCCAATTTTAGCCGGACTGGAATTAGGATAGAGCACACTTAACTTTCTATAATGTATCGTCGAGCCGTCGACCGCAAGACTGGCGGTAGATTGCGAAGCACGCGCTGCGTGGCTAAGATGTACGCTAGCGTATAGCCGCGCGGTGTATTTTCCGCAAACTACGGCCAGTCCGTGCGGTCAACGACTCGAAGGTCTGAATGCATGATAGCTGCAAAAATTGCTGATTAACATATCACTTTTAAACAACCATCCTCGCACTCTTCGCCCCTCCCCTCATCCACCGATTAATTCTCCCTCGGAACTTATGCTCGAAAGCTCATAACTACACTTCAGATTCAATTTGTGCATTCCATTGCAGTATGAAAAGTATGCCGACAGAAACAGAAAGACTTTTTCTGAGCTAGCTAATCCATTTCTTTCTTGAAGATACTGCAACTGGATTTTGAAATCCCACACTTTCCTATGACCTTTCATGCCATCCATAGTTGGTAGCTGCCTTTTCATTCTAGTAAGAACAGCCATCAAACAGAATTTGCTCTCCTAACTGATGATTGCCTCACTCTGGGTCACATATAGCCATATTTCATCCACAAAAGGATCATGTCCAGTCGACATCAAAAGAAAACTCACCAATGGCAATGTGGACTGCAGCCGTGGCAAAATCAGACGTTTCATGAACGGTGCTCACTATTGAATTGGCTGAGCCCGCGCCAATAATTCCGAAGCGAATATGAGGTGTTTGCAATTGTTCTGTGGCCGGGTCGTCGATATCCATACCTGGAAGAGCATGACTGTTCGTGCACAAATCAATTCAATCAGGAGCGAATTTACCAGCTTCTAGTTGTGTACGTAGAAGGGCCCCGGATAAAAGCTCATTGAAAAGGCCGTCACCGCCCACCGAGACCTGAGTACAAAGATCAGCTTTATTAGTGCAGTGGGTTTCTGTAAATTTCACGGATTATAAATGTAGCTCACCAGGCCATCAATGGATTGCCACCGATCTGCCGGCATCTCCATAATGTGGTCACGAGCATGGTTTGCTCTTTGTGTCATAAACACCTCATACTTAAGTCCTGGTGTCAACTTGAAAAAGGTTTCCACCTGAAAGTGTTGTCATCAAAAAGAAAACCGGAATTCAGCAAATGCACATACATTCTTCTGGAAGATTGACTGAGCTTTTCCTTTGCCGCCGAAAGGATTGATAAAGACTATGATGTTCTTCGGACGATTGCGTACACCTGCAATGGCGCCCGACTTCAGATGCCTTGTGGGTGTTTGTAGAGATATGTCACGAACCGCTAAGAGTTGCAGTGATAATACTCATCCAGTAGTCTCGCTCCGATCTTGTTTTGAACGTGACCGGAAGCTGCTTTAGGCGCCATCTATATTTGTCTTTTTTATAGACGAAGTTGAAATACAAGGTCGAATCCGTTGATGAAGTCTGTAATAAGTTCGCAAGAGTTGAGAAGAGTCCGTGTATAATCCATGGAATTGGTTATACTGAGAAAAGGCATTGAACTGCTTAATGGAAAAAACAGGAGTTAACTCTTTACCGAATAGCGCATGAAAAATAACAAAAGGCACAACATATGGAAAAGAGCGCACTGGGATTTTTACGCGCTAGTGTTGTCAACGCCGCAGTTGCACTATAAACCGTCAAACTTCCTAAATTGCAGAAATCCCCCCCCCCCCCCGCCCACCCCGCCCCATATTTACAATACTGAATCTCTCTTTTAATTAGGGCAAAAACCAAAATCTGCTGCGCAGCAATACATTAAGAAAAGACAAATGAATTCGAAGGGATTACCTCGTCTTCCTCTGCAACTGCAACAGGAACGCCCCGTTTGATCCTAACAGGTTTGGTCCGCACACAGAGTAACTCGTCCAGTCGATAAGTTACCGCATGCCTTCCAGATGTACTAAAACAGTTCGTTTTGCGAGACTGTTGTAACAAAAATTATTGCAGTTTCTGGGCCCTTACTACCTTGTCATCATAAAATTTTTGGTTAAGTCGTAAGAGCAGGCATTATTTTGCGCCCAGAGCGAAAAGCACTGGCCTCCTGTTAAAGTGCGGAGAGCAGCAGATAGAATCCGCAGATGGTTGCTTATTGATGCTTTGATAGATTTTGATCACTATAGCGAAGGCTGCCAATGCAAAATCCAGCAAACAGCGCACGCTCTTGCGGTGACACAACTCTAGTAATGCGACGCGTGCATCCGCGATTGCACAAAGTGCCACCTTTCTGAAGGCATGCTCTCCGAACTACGTACAGAATGAGGGAAAACAGGGCTTACTCTAATAGTTCAAATGCAAATACGTTGATATCACGGTAAAAGACAATTCGGTGATTCTTTCCGTGAGGTGAAGTGACGTCTGCTAGTAGCGTTCCTTCGACTCCTTCAATCTGACTGCGTGAGGACACTGGTATATCACATATATCACTGTCTCCTGAAATGTTTAACTGCAGTATTTTGCATTTGAAAAAGAGAGAGAGAACATGAAAGTAGTCCCTGTAAGACACTAGAAGATTCATTGGATGTCAGAAATGTTTTTCAAACTTTGTTGCACAGCATTCAGTCGGTTTCAGAATTCACTTACAATTTCAAACAACAGATTATAGACTACTTAAACAAACAGAGATTTCACGAAGGCGGCATAGAAATTTTCTTTCTTGATGATTATGATGCACTTTTCGAGAAGACTGGAGGTGTTTGCAAGGAGTAGTGACCATTTTCCCTAATGTCAACATGTTTAATTATGATAACAATTTCAAAAATATTGATATTATTATAAAATTACCATTTCAACTCAGAAGTGACTGAAAAGATGCTGATCTAGCAATGTATTTTTGCGACAATTCTAACATTCTGGATGATTAATGTGACGCTGTAGCAATGCCAAACATTTATCATTTAACAAATTGTGCATCCTGCAAATTGTTTGATTTGATAAAAGCTAATTTTTTGCTCGACATTCTCTAATCAGTTTCTAGGCAATTCTGAGGTCTTATGTATGCAGACGCTCTCGAGCAAAGATTAATCTTTCCGGAATTCTATAGCGTCGGGAGCTTGCTTATGTCGTCTCTACTTAAGCTTCAGAAACATATCGAATGACGCGACAAACATTTGACTTAGACAGCAACTAATTTCGATCCGATGTTTTGGTGAGAAAATTCTGGAATTGAATGTAAACAAAAATATAGCAAAACAGCTAGCTCTTTGTTTGATCTAATTTACGAGTTCAGAATGCGACGTTAGATTTTGCACATGCTCGTGAAAAAAACAACTATACTGCATAGTACACTGTAACAAAAATCTGACTGAAAAAATGTATCAGCTATTCAACAATTGAATTTTTTTTACAGACGAAACTGTACTCCACAATATTGGTGATAATCATTTGGTCAGGCCATGACAAATATACTTTTCAAGTCTGGTTCAAACGATGTGCTCGTACAACGTTCACTGCAGTGTTATCAGCGCCGTTCAATGAGAAACAAAACACTGTCAACCGATTTCCTGTGCAAAATCCTCTTACACTGATTGTTTCAGCTTTTTTTAATGACCGATAGCACTCAAGGACGCAGTCACCCTATTTACATTAGTCAAAGGGATTACACCGCAATAAAATGGCACTGCCAATGTATTTCAAGGACTAGTGTAAAAGTATCTCACGCATTTCATGTTGGGGGAAATTTGGCGAGCTGTGACTTCACAATGATCATAAATTAATGAAGATAATGGATTCGTTGCACCTTCAAATTTAAAAAGATACAAAAGCGAGCTTTTTTAGAAGCTACCAAAATGATGACTACATGTCTTTTGATCTGCAAAGAAAAAGTGCAAAAAAGAAGCGCAAAAACTTCCAGAATTATACTTTTCAAACGAAGGAGGGATTCAAAAACATAAAAATAAACTAATAACTTTCGTTTAACTGTCAAGGAAGCCTAACTAAATTCTCTTTCATCACCAAATCCAAATATTTGCGAGACACGGAGAAAAGGTTTGCTTTGCCAAGTTTTTGCATGCCACATCTCTGCTATATGACTGCATGGCCAAACGGGTGACGAGAGAAAGCGAAAAATATGAGAGCTTGCAAGCCAGTAAACAAGTGGATCGGTGTGATATTTGAAATAAATTGTGTGGAAAGAGCATTCAAAACATTTCTGAAAGTCTGAGCTATTAAGCAGATAACTGCAGCAGTGTGATGTTCATAGCAACTATTCATTATCTATGAAAAAGGTGACCACAAGCTAAATATCCGTAAGATCTGAATTTTCCAGGCATCACTTTTTGAGCTTTAATCACAGAGAAATAATGTTCTAAATAACAATCTTTTGGAAAAGGAGGTTACAAAAAGTGATTCAGATCTTCCACAAAGTTGATCAAAGAAAATACAATTTTCCAGACAATGTATCTAAAGCAGATAGCACAGTCAGGTACTAGCAAGAATTAAAGTGATGGTTGAACTATTCTTCAAAAAAAGCTTAACCTTCTTTCCAACACATTTTATATAGGATGAAATGTGAACCGAAATATTCTGCTCTACTGTCATATTCAATTATATTTGTGTTCCGTGCTGTTGAAGAAGATGAAGATGGAATCAAATAAAGTATGGAAATCAAATAAAGTTTCACACTGAAATTTCTATTAGTTTTCATTACATGTAGACTTTTCTCAAACTCCCAATATCTTAGTTTTCTGAGTGATAGGATCACTGATCAGCGAAATAATCGTTTTTCTAGTGATCATCAAAATTTACAGAATGCAAAAATCGCCACAAACAACCAGAAAATCGTACTATCTCATAGGCAATTCTCATGCAACGCAATAAAATTCGTGCCACGTATGTAATGCAGCCCAGCCTGTTCGAGAAATTTACGACAGAACACACGATTCATTTGCGTTTATTTCTCGGAAAAACTGATTGTACTCGCAGATAAACAGATAGAGGATGCAATATGGCTGAGCCGAAGACTGGAAGACTGGAGTGGTTGGGATAAATCAGCTTGCCAAAGTGTACGAGTTTCAGAAATAAAAGCTTTTAAGTGGCTACTCATTTTGTGCAAATTTTTGCATGGAGTACGGGAGGATAATGAAATGAAAATATACATATGATTCATATGAAGTACCTTTGACGCAGTTAGATGGCATAAGAACTGATGTGCTTGCATCACTTCCAGCGCTGACCATGTTTATTCCAACCTGAATAGAAAAAAATTGCACTGAGAGAACAGCTGTACGGAGATCTTCAAGAGACGAGAACAGAAACAGATAGGTAGCGTACAAAGAACTGAAAAATCAAACGAGATGCAGAATTCGGTCAAAAGAGATCACTAAAGATGAGGAGAGATGTACATAAAAAGAAGAACGAGTTCAGCCTTTTCACTTCTATTTGAATTCTTCAAAATTTTCGACTGTTGTTCTCACCAGAAAAGACTCCTTAATAATCGAATGGCTGGAACCTTAGCATCTATAACTGCATCATTTACATCAAAACCAGTTGAAATTGAGGCGTTTGAGGCATTCATAGGCAATTTCCATGCGTTCCACTGAATCATAAGTAAACCGGTATTGCTAACTAAGTTCTTAATCGTCGCATTAGCCTAGTTCGCGGAGTTGTTCGCAATCATTGCACTGGGAGAGGGCATAAATCAAATAAACTTTGCATTTCATATACTATGATGATACATGAGTATGCACCAGAAGATACAAGACAGTTACTCTGAAGATGGTTAAATATGTTTTTTTTAAGCACATAGCATTTTTCGTAACATAAAGCAAAAGTTCATTCAAAGTCATATGCAAACACTAGAGGTTTATTCGACTTAGAAGTTGTCGCAGAAACGTCCGATCGGCATGAATTCCGATTGAGAAAAACATGCCCTACAGCTGAAAGCATAATTAAAACGAGATTTAGTAGTCGTTTCGGTTATTTAGCCCGAAAAACAAAAAGCCACTTTTTGAGTGCTTTTGCAGATCAAGATATAGCAAAAGCATATTTTGCTTTGAATGCTTATGGAAGTTGGAAGATTTTCTCTATCTTAAATATTTCAAAGAAAGAATTATTGAAGCTGAAAAGGTTATGAGTCTTTCATATTTTTGGTGCAAGACTTATGTGTCAACTTAATGATTACTGGTATGATAACATGCGACAAGCACAGCCCTATGTTGCGCAAAAAGCCCATTGCCGTGGCAAAAGTGCCCATCTCACGCTGGGGAGACGACTAAGTCGCCGATTATTAATCAGCGGTGCTCACAGCTGCAACGAAGCGCTTCGAAGAGCGTCCGAATGTGTTGATGCCGTGAGCGCCGCAGCAGCGGATCAATAGCGCCACGTACAGCAAGGAGACACCGACGAACAACATTGAAATTCCACGCTTCACAAACCGGAATTCGCTGCGGCTGCGGTTGCGCAGCCAGCGGCGAGTTGCGCTCGACGCCCTTTGCGGTCGAAGCGCGAGTCACCGGACGAAACATGAAGTGAGAGATCAAATCACGAAAATCAAATTATGAAACGAATTTGCCTGAAAATGCATGCGAGCGGAGGTGGGAGTCAATGCCATTGACAGTTCCATTATGACTCAGCAAAGTAAAGCCACCGCAGTTGATGTTTTTAGGCATTATTTCACTGACAGTTAGAGATGGCAAGGAATGTTGCGAATGAAGCCGTGTGCACAAACACAAATAGGGGACAGACAATAGTTAAAGCTTTCCATGTATGTGAAGATTTCTTTTCCTAAGAATTTTTATTGACTGATTTTTTCTACAACTGAAAAAGCACCAAATGTACGAAAAATCAGAGAGATATCAAACGATGAAAGACAATATACCTAATCAAGTTTAGATTCTATAACTAAGTCATACACATTACTAAACTTCGATAAAGAGGAGATAGAGAGGGATAGAGAAGTAGACGAAAGAGAAGATACGAAATTTACCATATTCGCTTTTACCCGCAGCTGCAAAGTCAATTCAAAGACGTTTTGTGAATAGTGAATGCATGTGTGTAGAACTTGGCCTTGGAGAACAAATTCCAGTTTTTGTACAAACACATGTGAAATACACTATTGATGTATGAGTACATGCGCAGATAGATATGTACGACGGCGACACTTGGAAATAATAAGCAAAGGTCGAAGCAAAATGTGAGCAACAACAGGAACAAAACACATCGAAAGGGAGCAGAGTCGTACATGTCGTTTTTGCTTGATACAACATCGCCGCTGTCGATTGTAAAAACGGAATTCTTGGTCAACAAACGCTCTTGCGACAGAAACTTCTGTTTTTGTTGTTGTATTGCACGGATTCCTTTGAAGTGTAGCGAAAAAAATTTACACTTTACTAGAGAAACATACCTTAAAATGCGTTTGCCTGATCTGGTAGAGCACATTATTGCGACCTCATTAAAATTGTCAAATAAATTATTCGATGTGCGTATTAACAATAATCACAAATGGTAATGGTTGCATTTTGCAGCAACTCGCTGCACGAATTTATTGAAAATTTGTTTGAAGTGATTACATACAGTGCAAAAACGAACAAACAGTAGAATCCAAACTTATTCAAGCACTCTGCGTGATTCGCATCACAAATGTAGAAGTTTATTAACCAAAAACCTAGAAATCGTGAAGATGAATATTTCTTCTCTAGCTATGATGGTAACGTATATATCCACCATTTTCCACAGATCATTAGGGTGATGTTAATTGATTTAATTCCAATCAGTTGATAATTAAGATGAATAGCAAATGATCAAAAATAGATCAACTATTTATGTAGCTTCCCTAGGCGGACGTATTTTCACTACGGGTAACGCTACGCTTATGTATTAGCAGTGGGCCGCCATGACAGTCTTCAATAAAACTGTTCCAATTGTTTCGAAGAATACGCAAGTGAGAATATTGTGTACACATATAGATTCGTTAAACAGTTAGGAGCAAGTCTGCCCAATTCTGAATTATCACATCATGATCGAGCAATGTGGGAGGCCTATTGCAAGCGAGAACTACACGCCTCGGTCCAGTGTCCTGTTTATGTGCGTGATATATCAGTAGAACCGGCAAATAACTGCAACACATGTTTTAAAATGAGACAGGAGTTATTTACAGCTTCATAATGCGAGCAGACGGAGGCAGACGAGAGAAAACATGCTCCTCTCTTTATCTTCTAGTTTCCAGTATAATATTGAAAGCGGAATTTCAGAGCAACAACAACAACTATCATGGGAAATGTTGTGGAGGTTTAGGAAGTGGGGTGAAGTTGGTGAAGCCACTATGTCTCGTTTGTTTTCGTCTTAGCGGAAATGTATGCGGCTGTTGTTCCTCGAAAAGTTCATTCGTCTAGCGGATTGACAACGGAGACAATAGAAAGTACACAGGATCTATCATATTCTTCAAAACACATATCTCTGATTTTATCGTTAAATCGAGGTTAGTGCGACAGCGAAAGAGATATCTAAAAAGCTGGACATTTTCATATGTATAAAGAACTGCAAGACAACTCAAAATAGAAAAAGGACAGCAACAGCATGCAATCATTTGTGGATGCATCACTGAGTTCCAGTAAGTCTGCAGACTTGAAGTACCAATCGCAAAAAGACCATGGTTGAAGGATGCTAGGAGACGTTCGGCAAATGTCCAAATGTCGTCGTCAAATATGCCAAATCGTCAAAATGAGGTGACTAAGACAATACTGATGTTTGATTGGGTACAGGTTATACGCAAAAGGCAAAAAAAGCTCAAATCGGGTTATGCACTCGGTTTTACAGAAATCTTGGCAATCTACATGCATTGCTGGTTCAGGTAGATCAATACGAGCAGTGAGCACAAAAACAATTGAAAAATAAACGTATGATCATTCTGTGGGAGATCCAGAAGGCTAGAACTGCTACATGAGAAAGGATTTTTACAATTCATAAACTAGGATATGACAAGTGAAGTGGAAAACGCAAAATGATATGTTCAAAGAAATTGTAAGCTTCGCTCACGAGGAGAGTATTAATGGATCATCAACATTACGAACTGTCCTTCCTAACATGACAAGGATGTAAAATGTATTTGGACTATCCAACGGAAAAACCACTTTTACTCACGATCAGAGGAAATGAATGATGTTTATGGACAGAAGAAATAAAAAAAAAGTTGTTTGAAGAGCTGCGAGATATGCTTGTGTGATTACTACTGCGTTGAGCAATAAAAACATTTTTGTGTATCTTTTGTCCTTTGCAGCCATAAAAGAATCAGTAGAGAATCTCTCCTTACATGCAGATGGCCAACGATCAGGATAGAACCAGCGACGCTACGCTACAGAGTGTGCAATTGCACATGTGAGGACATGAAATGACTAGGCTGTAGTAATGGCACATCTGCGCAAACACAACGCTGATTTGCGAAGTGCAGTATGCGGACCGTTAAATACACTGTTTGGCCAACACTCCAAAATTAGAATATGCTATTACTTTACATCGTCATGGCAAAGTATGATTGTAGACTATACTAATGCGACTTTGAAACGGCAAAAAACGTCCAACAATCAATTGATTGTCAGGGATGTGTCTGGTTCTCACAAAGTGAATGTGCAGAGCTAATTGAACCCAAAATCAATACGCTATGCAAAAAAAGTTTTCATAAATGTAACGATTGTATGTACTATGATTACATCCTATGTGAGCGGGCCTGGAGGTGTATCATCTTGCTGTGATCGTACATTCACAGTGTGTAAAAGCAAAAATTCAAGCAATAACTGAATCAAAAAATCGACGAAACTCTATCTTCGTTTTTCGAAAAAATGAGAAACTCATATTATTTCTATTCAATGGTTTGATTCCTAATCAAGTAACCGCATTTTTCAAAATTTTTCAGATATAATTGTTCACACAGCATTTTCATCAACTGTTAAGTGGAACATTTGTTACAGGGCACTTATTACTCTGACCAGTGCGTCACCTCTGCTTCGCAGAGGCTGGCCCTACTTTCTGTATGCCTTGACCACCTTCATAATAATGACATTGAAACTCACCGCGCTATGCAGGCTATCGTGAATAATTTGTAAACAAGTACTTAATTCGAGAGCTTTTTTGTGTGAGATCGGTATTTTCGCGTGGATGAAACTTTTCCGAGAAGAATAAATGCAAATTTGAACCGGTTTTTGGACTTCTTATGGTTTGGTAGTCGCCATAACGACGATGATCACCGTCGGCTACATCCCTGTGCAAAAATCTTCTCAAATGATTAGGTAAAATCTAGGCAAATTGAACATTTACGCAACTGATATTTTTCGCGCCATTTTCGTAAAGTAATCAACTTAAAGGCAGTGTCCGGGCAAAAAACTCGATTTTGAGATTTTGTGCTTACTTGGGCCTATTCGCTACGCTGAATCCGAAAATGCACATTGTAGAGCGCGAAAATGGCGAAAAACGGCTCTAACACAGGAGGGAAATGAGCAGGTGGGCGGAATCCTCCCCACTGCGAATTCATGTTCCCGGCTTCCGGAGCGACCTTCTCGCTTCCGGTTTCAAGTCAACTATTCGCACTTGGCCGGAAGCGACGTTAGGACGGCCAGCGGAATCGAGAAAATCGCTTCGGGAGCTGGGAGCGAGAAATAGCACTGGGGAAAGCCCCGCCCACCTGCTGATTTCCCTCCTGTGTTAGAGCCCTTTTTCGCCGTTTTCGCGCTTTCCAATGTGGATTTTCGGATTCAGCATGGCGAGTAGGCCCGTATAAGCACAAAACCTCAAAATCGAGTATTTGCCCGGACACTGCCTTTAAAGGCAGCGGCTCGACAGATTGACCTACCTCAGATTTTGACACAGATGGATAGGAGGCCCTCCAAGTGAACCAAAACAGCAACTCCGCGCCGAAAATGTGAACTCTGCGAGCCAGGGGGCGGCCCAAGCGCCGCTCCCCTTCCTCCTTTCGCTCCCCTAACACCTTGTTCGGACGAGTATTCTCCGCTAGACAGCGCGGGACCCCCAACCGCTTTCCCGCATTGTGCATGCTATATAAAGCCAAAATTACAGGCAGCAGGGTCTTCGTGCCAGGACCTCCCAACTTTCCTGAAAATTCTCGTCCTAGCTGCCTTTTGGAAATTGAAAAAAAACGCCCCGAAAAAGGCCTTTTCACCGCTTTTAAAGCTCAGATTCGGGATCTACGGGTCGAGAAGGCCAAAAACATGCAAAAAGATGGAAATGCAAAATCTGCCGAGCCGCTGCCTTTAAGTTCAATTTTTGGGCTAACTCAGACAGTCGAATGGATATCTCCGGCGGGCATATGGCGCAAGTCCGCCACTTCGCGCTCCGGAGCCCTGCCATTTCACGCATTTTTGTGCTCCAGGGCTCTCCCAAAAGTGGCGCACCTCCGGAGCAGAGATTTGCGCGTCGCGGAGAGGGGTCCCATTCATTCATCGTGACGTCACGGTGACGTCACAAACAGGACGAATGGGACCCCTCTCCGCGACGCGCAAATCTCTGCTCCGGAGGT